TTAGCCTTATCTCGTCCTTAAATAATTTCACGATTTGTATACATTGTAAAACACGCTGTCGATAGGACTTATAAAGCTATGAGCTAAAGGATCGGAATACTCCCTTAAATTCCACTATTTTATATGCACGGAAAATTGAACCGGCCAGATGGGAGATGATTTGCCCGGAACTCTGCAAGAAAAGGCCAGTTTGATTTTCACACTTCACGATACGTATCTTCACGGTCACGGCTAAATATGTCACGGTTTTTTAATGTCTTGAGACGCACTAACGAGCAGTTTTGAAAGAGAAATCAGTGTTTTCGAGATAAAAAATTAGCGACAAAAAAGTGCGACGTTTCGACCTAGAATTGAATCGCAATGTTTGTTCAGTGTTGGTTTGGCTCCATCGCACAAGGTTTTAGAATCTTAAGAAAGTGTTAGAATAAATTTGAACATTGAAGTGTTTTTTTCAAACTGGCAACAATAAAGAAACAGTGTGATTTAATTCGCGCCAAATTATTTGTTGAGAGTACTAGTTCTAGTTATTATTATTCCATTGTTTTTGTCTGATAAATATTTTTAGCACTCTCTGACACGTTTTGTCATATTTTAGCATTCGCCATATTTTTACCCATTTCAACTTCTTCTGCATTTTTATGCTTATTTGGAACATTTTTACTGACTTGAAAATGGCCTTGGAGAGGTTGAAACGTCGTGCTTTTTTTATCGCTAATTTTTATCTTGAAATCGATCTCTAAGAAATTACTTATTGAAATCAGTGCTCTTAAAGTATTTTAAAATAGTTGAATGCAATACCCTTGTACCCATCCTCGAAGAACCAGGGGCTGTGAGTCGATTTCAAGTTAGGGCATGAAGAGCCCCTGGGGACACTGTCTTGCAAGACTGGTTCCAAACGGTCGCACTCGCTCTGGCATCTGATTGGTGCCAGAAAATCTTTGTGTTTATTTGCCCAATCAGAGTGAAGTGAGCCTTAGGGTCCTTTCGTGTGTTTTGACACGGACATATACTAGTAGCTCAGTTGATCGCTATGTTTTTTTGGGCCGCACGAAGAAGATTTGCTCGAGGTGAAATTTTCAGTCTCAGTACACAATTTAAGAGAAATCGATCAGATTTTCCCCGAAAATCTTACCGGAAATTATACTGAATACTTTCGCAGGTATCACAAGAGAACGTGAAATAAAATTAATTAAAATTTGCGAGGTTCGTATACAACACGATGGCTGCAGGCATTGATATGTCGCTTTTAACTTTACCCGAGATTTAATCTTAAATCTTTCTAGATTTTTGGATAATTTCCTGTGACTGAAACTTTGCCAACCCCGTGANACATCGAAAAATACTACAATCTGATTGGTTTGTGATACACCAAAAAATTGGGCCAATCACATTGCGTTGAGATACACCAAAAAAAAAGATGCGCCAATCAGATTGCTTAGAGATACACCAAATTGCGCTGATCAGATTACAGTACACCACAACACACCAATCTATACGCTAACATATAGTTATTTTTTTTAAAAAAATAACTCAAAAATAACTCAAATATATACAACGTCATCGATCTCATTTACAAAACTCACCGAGCTCTAAAATTCGTTGTTAATACATGATCTTACTAAAAAAAAGTCTTTTTGAAACGCTCGGTCCTACATTTGGGAATCGAAAAACGCCTTTTGCACCGAAAGTTATAACACGACGGCCCTGACCATTGAAGTATTCTGTGTAAGCGATGGGCCGGGTCATTAGCAATCGAGAGGAAGGTCTTGTTATATAAGCGATGTAGTCGTTGATAGACATAATATCTGAAAGCTTTAAAGCCTCTCTATAGGCCAGGCCCGGGCAAATGATTGACAATGCCCGTTTCTCTACATTCTCTAGATCTTTCTTTAAATACAATGGCAAGGCGTAGAAAAAAGCAGGCGATGCGTAGGTCAGGACTGACCTTATACAAGATGTATAAAACGAATTAATTCATGCCTTGCGACATTGGCCCTTTTCAATTGTATCAGAAAATACATACGTTTCAGGGACCGCGGAGGGGGAGGGGCTGGTATATGTAGGGCCACGGCTTCACCACTTTTTTGCGCCCCCGCCCCCCTTTTTGCGCTAAAAGAAAAATTATTACTGATTTTAGTCCTTTCTTCGATTTTAAATATGAAAGAATTAACTTCAGTTGTCAGCCCTCCCACTTTACACCTTGCTACGTGGTTCCTGCGTTTAACAGCTTTCTTTATAGTTTGATCAATGTTCTTCAGTATTCCATGTAAGGTTGTTGGAGATCGTAACACCTGGTAATTTGGCACGTTCAACACATTCTAGCTCTTGGTTATTTACAACTATAGGCGCGAGTTGTGGTTTGTTCTTTGCAAATGAAATCTTAAAGCTAAGCTCTTTACATTTTTCGCTGTTTAGTTTTACTCTATTTTCAAATGACCACCGCACGACAGTATCTGCAATTAATAGGGAATTGTTACTGGCTCCTTTGACATCGATCTCGAATGTAGTTGTATCATTAACATACTTCCAGATATTGCCTGCATTATTGATTTCTAGATCGTTGATGAGCACTAAAAACAACCACGGGCCTAGTTTCGTCCCCTGGGGTACCCCGGATGAGACTGATCACCACTCGGAGTAGCATCCCTCTAAGAGTTTGATTCTCTGGGAAGGATCACATAGAAAATCTATGATCCAATTGATTATTTCTATCGGCAAATCTAATTTGCATAGCTTATTAACGAGAATCCTATGGTCTATGAGGTCAAATGCTTTCTTACAGTCATAGAGTGTAACCCTAACAGTTGCTCCGTTACCATCACATCCCTTGGTCCAATGGTGAAGCATGTGTATAAGTGCTTGAGTTGTGGAGGACTTCGGCACGGCTCCATACTGGCAAGGAGTGAGAACTTTAAGTACGGAGGATTTCACGTAGTCAGCTACGACACACTCTTCAG